TGAAGTCACTGGGATCCAACTTATCCACTAACAGACAGCCAATACGGTCCAGAACAATCCCATCCTGGCCTTCACTCTGGTTCACCCCCTGGTCCTGATTTTGGTTCAGACAGTGGCCACTGCAATGATCTGAAGCACTGCTTTCAGCCCCAAGGCTGGTGGTGCTTTTGACATCTTCTAGAGACATGTCTCGCTGTTTGCTCATTAGCCAGTCTCCACAGGAGCTCACCGACACCTCGTAGGATATTGTCAAAATGTGGCCCTCCTCAGAGAAGGAAAGACAACCTTACATTGTTCCACAGAAGCCTCAAAAGAAAAGAATCCTTGTTAAAAAAACTACTTAGATTTTTGTTTTGTAATGTAAAAGTATGAACACCACACTGTACACTGAATACAAGGTTGCGCGCAAAAGAACTGCATTCCATACATGCGTGTAATTATTTTTAGTAAGTGCTGGGGAAGTATCAAAGGCTTGATTGTCAGACTAATAATTCATTTTTGTTGACCTAAAGTAAAACATCAAAGTGATTAAATTGATTAAAACAGCCTATATAAGTGAAAAGATGTGTCACGAGTTTAAAATTGATCAGGTTTAAAAGTTGTACCAATGCACCACTGCAATGACCATATTTTGTCTGCCACACCCCCGCGACCCCCACGACCCCCACCTCCTTATTGTGATATTTTGCCTCAGGCTTTCTGCAGGTCTTTGGAAATATGTTTTTAACTCATTTTCAGTGCGCTCCTTGTCTCTGACCATGTCTTTTAATTGTTAAGCCACTTCACACAAAACTACCATTCAAACATAAGGCACCTAACTCAAGGCATGAACTGGTGTTATGTCTACACATAAGACAACTTGCTAAAAAGAACTTTACATAGTATCTTTAGGCACTTTTCTTCTTAGCAGCCTGTCACAAAACAATAAAACAAAACATAATTTGACCCCATTTCTTTAGTTGAATCGATGAAAATTACCGATATGAAGGCAGATGTGAAGGAACTATCATCTTAAAAAGAAGTGGCAGTATATAAAAATGTATTTATAGCAGATGAACAGTATCTGAAAGTCATGTCTTTAAGCAATAGAAAACAAGCCAGATCTGAGGTCCAGATCCAGACAGGACCTGAGAGATGCATCTTGCAGTTGAGCCACTGTTTGCTGTGTCTCATCAGAAATGATCTGAGTGGAAGGGAAACGGAGAAAAGGCCACGGTATGTCAAACTGCACATAAACTTGACTAAAAATCAACAAAAGATGTTAACTACTTCTGTAAGGAAGAGATCAGGAGAGCGGTACAACAGTAACTGTAAAACGTAGTGGAGTCTTTGTTTTTTAGCATGACAATTATTTCAAACACACTTCTAATGCAGAAAAACACACAAAGCAACTCTATCAGTCATGCATTCATCTCTACAGAGTCTGGACCTCAACATTACTGAAGCAGTGTGGGGTCTTGGCAGAGAGCAGAATGAAAGGCAGCAACATCCAAAGAAGAGCTTTGGATGTCCTTCAAGAAGCCCCAAGAACTGTTCCTGAAGACTACTTGGAGATATAACACAGTCGTAGTTTAACAGCTGATTATCTTCCATCTGCCATTAAGCCCAAACACCGGCTCTACAGTGGTGCCCTCTAGAGCTCAAACGCTCTGCGTACAAATAGTGTTTCTTTCTGATTTGTCAGATTTGTTAGTTTGCACGTAAACAAGATTGTTTTAGACACAATTAGCTTTGCCTGCAGCTCAGAAAAGAAAAAAACAAGAACTGAAGGCTTGATTTTAAAAGCAAAATGAAACATTAAAACACTGATTACAAAAAATGCATCATGGCATTATATCACACTGAAGTGTACATGTAAACACACACTCACACCACAGATGGCTGAGCAGTTACTTTCTGGCAGATTTACTTAAACAATGGAAGGATGGCCATGCTCAATGGAAACTTACAGCAATATTATACCGGATTAGTCTCTGCCATTCATGGTAAAAGTTGTCTGATCCACTCGTCATGAGCTCCTTAATTCTGATCTCTGTGACCTGTGAGCCGGATTAAAGAGACTGTCGACAAATACACGGTAAAGCTTAAAAGAGCTCAGCCATTTACACTGAAGTGGCAAAAAACAGTCTCAAGTATTTTATTTTTTATTATTAGTCTTTTATTTATCCAGGTAAAAAATCTCATTGAGATTAAAAATCTCATTTCCAAGAGAGACCTGGCATCATGGCAACAAAAGTCACATACCACATAGGTATGTAACATTTACAAAGTATCATAAAAGGGCTTAAAGAAGGCTTCCCTACAAAACTCAAGAAACTCTTGATAATAGAGGACCAAAAAGTTTTAAATGATACTCTCACATGGATAGTGACTGATAGCAAAGTCTTTGTTTGAATAGTCAATGTTCTTTACAACTAAATGCACAGAAACAAATGCTAATTCAAATTTTAAATAATAAAGTTTCTCTCAAAATGAATCTTTGATGATGCTAAAAGGTAATAAATGCAGTTTTTTGCTCCACTACAGTGGTGCTGATGTATAAATCAGTCATGCTACAAAGGCAATTGAAAGCCCCAGTAGGGCAGTGCATTATAATTATATAATATATAATATATAATTATAATGCACCTCCATATATTCAACAGCAAGTACAAGAAAATTAAAATCTTAAAAAAAAGTTTCAGATTCCCAAGTTTTCAGATTTAAACAATTACAGAATGACTTCCTTAAATAAGCTTTGAATCTGTAATAACAATCCCTATCAGTACAAATGTGTGTACTGATGTGCTTATTTAAAAAAGAAATCAAACTAGACTGGTGGAGGGGAAACATGTTCCAAAAACACCCGTCTGGATTTCAGGAATTGTACACCGGGAACAAATTTAAAGGGATTGAAGGAACTTCAGAGAAGCACAGTACTCTGACACACATGTCAAACTGTCTGTGTGTGTGTGTGTGTGTGTGTTACTTGTAGTCCATACACAGAACAATAGAGTTAACAGGGTCGCTCCTACTGCTGCTGTTGAACTGCTGATCTGCTGTGCACACTTCACCACAGTACACAACAGAAGGGCACAAAACCCTATTAAATATCAATCAGATTTCAAAACATTTAAAACAGTCAGCAGCGTACTGCTGCCTGCTGTGATACATCCTCTAACACTGGCTTCCTCTCACAAAACATCCAAGCTGACTGCTTCTGGACATCTCAGCGATGAGATAATAACAACGGGACAACACATTAATCCACAGCCCACAAGCCACAACTCTACATGTCTTCTCAATGAGGAAAAATACCTCATCAGTGAGGGGTCCAAAAGGCCCAGACAGGGTATCGGACGCCCCAGAACTGAGAGACGTGCGTGTTTTCTCTTCCAGACGTGACACACTTTTTTAAAAAATGCTCCCAGACTGTAATCACTGGCAAGTAACACTGCTGCTCTTTACATTAGCTCCCTCACTGATAGCTAAAGCGTAGCCATCACTGTTGATTGTTTATGAAGTCTTAATAATATAGCAGGCGTCGCTGTAATATCAGTCAACAAAGTGCTTGGTCCACGTGGTCAGTGGTTCATAACAAACCTCTCTGTTCTCGCCTACAAACTGCACTGGAAAGGCGGTAGCTGGTGGTCTGGAGATGTTTGGACTACAAATTGTCACCATAAGACTGCAACTACACTCAGCCCCGTGGGTTCCCCTTCTCTGTATCCCATGATTCCTTGGTGTCTGTGACCTCGCGGAGCACGGGAAGAAGAAGCCGAGCTCGGTCACGCTGTATGCAGGAGGTGGTGCTGCTGGCTGGTTAACTATTGCTCACTTGTACATCATGGCTGCTTCGAAGCCAGTCGAGCCGCAGTCTGGGACTGGACTACCCCGGTGGCAGCTGGCCCTGTTAGTGGGGGCTCCCATAGTACTCGGAGTCGGGGCGGTCTACCTATGGAACCGCAGCAGGACGAAGGAAAAGAAGGGGACCGGGGAGCGGAAAACACCTGAAGGCAGCGCCAGCCCCGTGCAGGGCCAGGAAGGCGAATCTCGATCCGGCCGAGAGCAGGAGAACATGGTGACGCTTCTGCCGCCCTCATTTCACTCTTATCACATTAGCATGTTGGGTGTCCGTGCAGTGGGTACACTCTTCTGACTAACCGTGTCATTGCCATAAAAACACAGTCAAGGACATCGGACGTTACCGCCTCTAAGCAGCTGCTCTACCTCCGCAGTGCAAGGCCGGCAGCAGCCGGTCCACTGGAGCCAGATTAGCTTATGCTAATCGCTAGAAAGCTAGCACTCAAGCTAACAGTAGCTAGGTCAGCATGCCTGGCTGCAAATGTTTGCGTCAAAAGACTTGAAAAACGTCCATATCTGACGTCAAAATTCCCGATGCTGAGCGGTAAAATAGACATCAACCGCATGATAATAATATTTACCCGAAATGAGGTTTGAGTTTTGTAACTGTAACGTTTAGCTGGCTAAGGCTGCTTTCCCAGAAAGTGACGTTGGGCGGGGATGGTTCGAGTCTGTTTTAGGTAGAGACAGTGTAGCAGCCAAAGGTGACTGTCACCTCATTTACTCTCCGCTGTCATGCATAATGTCCTCAGTGATGGGCTGTATTTGCTAAACAGTGTAATGAACTTTAATGTGATGCAGCAGGCAAAACAGGTAAAGCCAGTGCGTTTTAAATAGATGTTAAACATTTTCGGTTTACTTTCTGTTACATGTACATCTTACTAAAGTTTTTACATTATCTTAAAACGGTGTGACACACATGGGTAGGACAATTCTAACTGAAATGGATGAAAGACCAACGTTTTATTAGGTAGATACAGAAGTTTCTGTTCTTAGTTCAGGAAAATCACCAGGATCTTAATAAAACACATGTTAAACTCTTTTTTTGTAAAGTAGAATTTATTCACTTGAGCGAGAAATTCATTTTTCATTATGAAATAGACGTAAATAACCAAAAAATGCACATATTTCTGTTAAGTATGCCTGTAAGCCATTCCTGGTTATGTGTATAATTAACCCTGATGTCCTTTTTGTGGTCATGCTAAATATTAACTTTCGTACAAACTTTACAAACTCTGTTTTTGCCTTACATACTTTGCTGCCACATATTTCCCAGTATAATATTAAGAAATGTGCCATGTCTTGAGTGGCTCAAGACATGGCACAGGACCTACTGTGCCTTTCCAAAGGCCTCTAAAACGATCACACTAATTGCTCTCTACACAGTGTAAAAGTGTAGATAAGAGTTCTGTATTTATTCTAGCTAAAGGAAGCATCCAGAGTGAAATTACCAAGACTCTGCATGCTACTGAGGTTTTGGGTGAAATTAATTGCATGTACTTAAAGTTTTTGGTTGTACACAACTCTACTCTATGCACTGCATTTGTGCATGCAGTGCATAATCAGGCATTCAGTGTGCCCTTGGTGTCAATAATTACTGCAGCAGCTCACCAATTTGTTTGGCAAACCTCAGACTGTCGGTCAGTTGTTGCATAGTTGTCATAAATTTTTTTGTTTCCTTGGTCACGTTTCCAGTTTATTGGACAAATCAATAATTATTGTCTTTCTCTCTCTTTGTTTTTTCATTTAGAGTCCTTTGGATCGGGCCCAAGCATCTAAGAACAAAGGCAACAAGTACTTCAAAGCTGGAAAGTATGAAAACGCCATACAGTGCTACACAGAGGCCATTGCTCTGTGCCCCACAGAGCAGAAGTCGGATTTGTCAACGTTTTACCAGAACAGAGCTGCAGCCTACGAACAGCAGGTTGGCACGACATCTTGTAAACTATGCAGAAGTTGTTGTAGAGTTTAAAAATAATTAAAGGCACATTTCAGGAAGCATAATGTGCACACTGAGCTCCAGCTACTTCAGTTTAAGTGTTATTACTGTTCTCAGTTAGATATTGTCCCCAGAGATGTTCACTAGGTTAAGCTGGTTGGGTAAGGCACTCTTTTGGACTTATGTTACAAAGTCCTGCTGTTCTCACACCCTGATGGCATGCTAAATGAAACAAACTGTGGTTTCTGTCGGTTCCTGCAGAAGCAAATGGTTCGTGTTCTTTGGACCAGATTGTGTTTGAATCTTTCCTCTTTTATGTTTGAGGATTTACCACACAAAGTATCTCATTTTGTCTCAGTGAGAGGTTAAACTGACCTCTCACTGAGACACAGCAGGGATGTTTCAAATTAAAACTAAACTGAACCTTTGATTTCAGATGAAGTGGACAGAGGTGGTACAGGACTGCAGTAAGGCTGTTGAGCTGAATCCACGCTATGTGAAGGCTCTGTTCAGGAGGGCTAAAGCTCTGGAGAGACTAGAAAACAGGAAGGAGTGTCTAGAGGGTGAGATGTCTTTATAAAAATGTTTGTTCCAAGTTTAACTTTTGAGGTGCGACTCTCATTGACAGTCTGCTGCGTTTTTCTCCTGTGATCTCCAGATGTCACAGCGGTGTGTATTCTCGAGGCCTTCCAGAACCAACAGAGCATGCTGCTAGCAGACAAGGTGCTAAAGCAGCTCGGGAAAGAGAAGGCCAAAGAGAAGTACAAGGTGTTTGTTCACTTTCAGACACGTTCAGTTTTCTTTGCCTTTATCTTCACATTTAACTTTTTTTTTTCTTTTTCCCCCAAAACATTTTAATGCAGAACCGTGAGCCAATGATGCCTTCGCCTCAGTTCATCAAGTCGTACTTTAGCTCCTTCACTGATGACATAATCTCCCAGCCCCTGCAGAAGGGGGAGAAGAAAGACGAAGACAAGGATAAGGAGGGCGAGGCAGCAGAGGTCTCAGAGAGGTTGGCATATCTTCTTAATCCAAACTTTTTTCATAACCTACGGTTTCTGTTGTTACAGAACAATGTAAAGAATCTGTAGCCCTGTGTTTATTTATGGCACCATTTTTGAGAAGAATAATTCAAATCGAACCTGCATGTTGTCGCACGTCTTTAGACTAACGAAAGCAGACAGGCTTAATTAGACTAAAGTTGTCATGTATGCTAATTTAAAAACTGGTGGCGTGTGCTCATTAGGAGACATTTCTGTAGGTAATAGTTTTCCCTATATGCTCAGCTCTGGGTACCTGAAGGCAAAACAGTACATGGAGGAGGAAAATTATGACAAAATCATCAGTGAATGCACCAAGGAGATCGAGTCAGGAGGAAGATACACCGCTGAGGCGCTGCTGCTGCGCGCCACCTTCTACCTTCTGATTGGAAACTCTACTGCTGCTCAGCCTGACTTGGATCGGGTCATCAACATGCAGGACGCCAACGTGAAGGTACAGACGATTTATTATTTGGGGTATTTTGGTTTGTTTATGTGGATAGACTAAAAAGTCAAATAACGGTCTCGGGTCATTTTAATTTACTTCTTGCAGAATTTTGCTTAGCTTGTCAGGTTTTAGCCAGAAGATGAATGGGCTTACCAAGTTGTGACTTTGGGAGCATGCTTGTTTTTTAGGATCACATAATTTGTAACCATTTCTTTACAGGAGTCTTAAAAAGCATTTTGTGCTCTTATCTGAACTTTACAGCTGAGGGCCAATGCGCTGATCAAGCGTGGCAGCATGTACATGCAGCAGCAGCAGCCAATGCTCTCTACACAGGATTTCAACATGGCCGCAGAGATCGACACGCGGAACCCTGATGTGTATCATCACAGGGGGCAGGTACGAGTGAGGGTAGACTAGTAACCTGCTTTTGATTTGGTGTATGATAACACCTGCTAACATCCAGTTATGCGTGTATTCTCTCTCAGCTGAAGATCCTGCTGGACCAGGTGGATGAGGCAGTGGTAGACTTTGATCAGTGCATCCTGCTCAGGCCTGACTCTGCTCTGGCGCAGGCACAGAAGTGCTTTGCCCTTGTAAGTAACCAGCTGAAGGCAAAGTTAAAAGCAGTGCGGCTCTTCATATGTAACAATGCACAGGTTCAACCACTATCTGAAACTGTCTTAAAATATTCAAAAAGCACAGAAGGTGAGATTGTTGGAAAGATCAGTCCACATCAGCACTGATTCAGAACCTGCACACATGTGTAGGCAGAACTCCACAGGTCACCCTGCAGTCCCAAAGTGATGGTGACAAAATAAAAGGGAAAACAAGACAGTGCAGGGTTCTTTAAGCCTTTAGACGGTGTGTCTGAGTAATCTACATATTTTATCTTTAACAGTAGTATGTATATAATA